TCAGCTAAAATGTTAAAGAAGTCAGTTGAGAACTACTGAAAGCCTTTTGTCTATTTAAGCAGTTTTTTGGCTTGACTTCTAGTTGAACTTTTACAGAATTAAAATAAATCTTAATGAAATATCGCATGATTCCGCCATTGGCCTCGTCAGTAGGGTGCTGAACATTGGAGTTCTTCTAACTGAGGTAAATAATCTTTCAACTTATTTATGATGACCTGTTCCCAACGAAACTGTTACTCTACGTCCCACTTGGGAGAAAAATGTTCTTAATTACTAGAACATGCATAGGTAAGAAAAGGTGAAAATGTTTTTAACTGGTTTGGATCTTTAGGGATATGTTTTAGGATGTCATTCAAGATAGTAATGAAATTATATGATTTTGGCGTGAGGGTAAATATTAATTATCAAATGTAATATTATCACATCAAGGACAAGCCCCAATGTGCGAAAAGGGAAAAGAACATTAAATTTCTCTGGGTAGATCTGGCTTTAAAAAAGAGAATTAATTAACTGACATCTAAAAGGTATTTCAGATTTACGTGGATACTGTAGGAGATCCAGAAAAGTACAGAATTAAGTTATCTGAAAGATTTCCAGCTATCAAATTTGTGGTTGCAAAGAAAGCTGACAGTCTTTATCCAGTTGTAAGTGGAGCAAGCATAGTTGCGAAGGTGATTCTCTATATTCTGAACTCCCTCAAATTAAAGTCTTACTAAATGATTTTTAATGCCATGTTCACTCTACTTTTTAGGTCACAAGGGATCAAGCGCTGCGAGATTGGGTGCTTGATGAAACTGCTGAAAACATGCACAGGAACTTCGGATCGGGATATCCTGGAGGTAAGCATGTTGAACTTTTTTCATATTGCTGATTCTTTATTGTTTGAGTGATGTAAGCTACTCATGAACTTGGATGCACATTCATTTACTTAGATCCTGAAACTAAGGCTTGGTTGGCACATCACAAGCACTCAGTATTTGGATTTCCAACATTGGTCCGCTTCAGTTGGGGCACATGCACTCCCTACTTCAAAGAAATTGTTCAAGTTTTGTGGTGAGTCTTCATTATAAATTCTATTAGCCGTTTCAATTAGATTCTCATACACTCAAGTACACGAGCGCCCCTTGGTACATTGCTTTCCTTTATCATTTTCCTTGAGTGGTGTCAGTAAAATCAAAACAATTCTCCATGGGAGATACATACACAGTGGTGGAGCTACATGGTGATTAGTGGGGGCAGTTGGCCCCACACGATTTTTATTTGAAAAATATTTCTCATGCATTGTTAATATTTTTAAAATTTCTACCCCCATAAAAAGGTTTTACATGTCTCGCAATTCACTTAATTATCTTTCACATTTGAGTTAAATCTCTAAATTCTAAATTAAGTGAACTTAACTAATAATTAGTTAGTTGAATCCCTTTAATATGTTTTCAAGAGTAACATAAGGCTCTTTGTCCTCTTTCTGTCTCAACATCCCCTCCAAGTCTCTCATCGCTATTAATTTGGATATATTGGGGAAAACACGTTTAATGATGTTGAATATGAAATCTAGTTCGAAAAAACTCTCAATGGATTCAACAAAAAGTATTACCAGTTGATATTTAAGTTTTTGAATTTGTTATTTGAGTTTTTTATCTCACGATTGCCAAAACTTTCCCCTGCTATATTGTATTCCTTGCTCTGCCCCTGTATGTAAGGAGCTTCCAACCAACTAATCTTTCTCTGAATCTGTAATGAGCAAAAATTTAAACTATCGGGCCACTAAGAGCAAAGATCAACTCATTCTACATGAACTATCTTACTAAGTTTCATGAGATGGATCTTAACTAATATCCAACAATGAAAAATATTTTGTTAATTATTCGATACACGAGGAAGGTATCCAAGCATCTTGTGAGTGTTCGCATTCAATACGTAGCAATATGGATATTTTGCACCAATTGAAGTGTCCGTGCTTTATATTATAAATTTAGGGACATTTTGCCATCTTAAATGGTTCACAAAACATGTAAAAGCCACTGCCCGACCTAATCTTTTGGCACGGTTTTGTACAATATGCCTGCTACAAGGCTTGAATTAACATATGCTTTGTTAATAGATTTGACGGCTGCTGAATCCATTACACAGTTTTATTGCATGGAGAATGGAAGTTGTCCATTACACAATGGGAGAATGGAAGTTGTCCATTACACAACTGTTTTGCAGGGAGAATGGAAATAGTGACCCCTTCAGGACCGTTACGGACATGACCAGACTGGAGATTACCACCAACAGCCTGGCTCCCTGCTGCCTCACGACAATCAACACATATCCCAAGCTAACCATTTCCTGAAACACTCTCACACCAACTTCAGACACAAAGCTCACTGTCCCTCCACCAAGATGCCGTCAGAAAGCTACCATTGTGACCTTCATCATGATATTACTGTGAAAACTCCAAACCCAGTGTTATACCATTTGCAAAGTGGGTGTGGGTTAGTGTCAGAAGAGAAGAGTTTTGGGGCGAGAGTAAATGGTGGGAGAGAAAGTGGATCCTGGGTTTGTTGTGGTGGTGGTGGTTGTGGTGTGCTGCTGGAAATAGGAAGTTGGAGAAAGGGAATGACAACAACTATTATGTTTGGTCTTGCTATTGTACTCCCAATAAGGGGATCTTCTTAGGTGTTTCCCAGATCTTTAGGCTTTTTTTAGTGCTGCCCAGCAGGCCAATAATGTTGATCCAGCTGCACATTTTATGTGGCCATGCGCTATGTTCTGCATTTGACCCTTCTCATGCACAAAATTGTTATCTTGGGCAAGGTTTTTGTTGGTTGACTTCTAACTTGGTCCTTTGCAGCTGTTTGTGTGAAAGGGCCTATATTAACGAATCACAAAATAAGATAAATTACTTTGACACGTTAAAACTATCTATATTAGGGAAATTGCTCAGTTTGGTCTTGTTAATCAAGACTGTCGGCAGGGATACACTGGATACAAACCTAATTTTTGGTATTATTTGCCAAAGTGCCTGCCGTCAAATTCAGAGTTTTTGCCGAAACTTTTACTTCTGTACCAGGCAATGACCTCTGCCAAAACTGTGTATGATACATTATGATTCATTATAAAGTTGATCCCCAAAAAAGAAATAATCACACCTCTGGTTTGTGTTATTGTTACGTAATGTCTGTTGTGCCCCGTGCCTGTTACAGGGCGACCAACCTTTAATGGTAATAGTGTAAGTTACCGTTGTTCAAATCATAAACAAATTTGTGTTGCCATGCTTACATGCGAAGCACTTTGCCCTTAAACCAAGCAATAGACCCTAGGGGTGCACATGCACATTGACCATTTATATATTTTGATAGCCTAATGTCATTTGATTGTATTTTGTGGTTTCTATAGGGAGTCCGATGCAATGGATGAAGACGCTTCCACTCATAGGACTGGCAAGCGGCAATTAAAATTGACAAGTGTTGGTTTCACTGGGCTCAAGAGGAAAAGTGAAGAAATTGAATCAAGTGGCAAAGGTCGCTGCAAATTTTTCCAATCTCGCAAACTTGAGCAAATGTCTCACTTCTAAACATGAAGTTTGGAATTCTCAGGAAGTATTTTGTCTTTGTTTCACAACCTTTTGCCCTCCGGTGTCTTGCATCTTGTAACTTAGATCCTAATCTCCAACTCAATTAATGATTAAATCATGCCTTTGCATGGATAGTTGTTGATGGGTTGGTATACATGATATGGTAGAACATGAGATATGTAACTTGATTAGACAGAATCTGGACTAGTTAGAAACCGAAGGCAAGGTCAGGGTATACATGACTCAATATTACTATTAGCAGACATTATCACTCATACAGTGTCTCAGTTCCTTGGTCCAGATTAGGGTATTTTGGAAGATGACCTGCTTGCTCATCCATTGACTGTCTCCTTAGTGTCTCAAATGAGCATGGGGATTCTTTTCTGGCAATCCCTTAACCATCATTTGCCGAATTTCCTGAGAAATCCATCTTGTTGGTCAGCTTATCTACTCCATCCCTTATCTGTTTGCCTTCCTAGAAGATTCCAAACTGTTGTGTGCCTAATGCTTATCAGGTTAGTTTATTACATATGAATTCATAAAGCTGTCGGGTGAAGGATAATGGCAATCTTGTTCTCGTCATCATGAAGGGTTGGAGCTCAGGCAGTTTCTTTTATTTGACCACTCAATAGGAAGTAAGTAATCCTTCTTGCACTTCTGAAATTAATATTCGAATCACTGAGTTTTGGAGTGAATATTTTTGTAGAGGTTTGTCAGTTTGAACCTTTGATTGATTAATACCCAAAAGAACCCCTCTTGCATTGTAGGCCTCTTCCTTTTACAAATCATATGTTAGCTTTGAAACCCTTGCAAGACATGCTACAGCTTAACTGTCTGATTTTGGACCATTGTGTCTGATGTCCTGCTGTTGACTTCTTCCTTATGGCATCTTTCGGTTTCATACCTCACCCATCTTTAACTTGGTGATGAATATCTTTCAGCACCCAAAACCTCTGAGGAACCATAGAGGAGTGGACATGCATTGGTCCAACGCAACATATCGATATTGGTAGTTGTTTCATCACAAAAGACCAACATGTGTAATAGGGTGGTAAATTTTCTGACACAACATCTCACCGGTGCGAACTTGAAAATGGAATGACTAATCAACACAAATTCTAAATGAGTGGAGTTACTTTAAAAGTCAAGCAACTTCTGTAAATAGTATTGTATTATATGAAGAACATGTCTCTTTTAAAATCTTTTCGTCTTTTTGTAGTATTGTGTGAATTGTAGTAGAATTAAATGGGTTTTGAATTGTTTTAGCTATTATGTAGATCATGTAGATTTTTAATTTATTGGCACTTATTTGTAGTGGATTTGGTTGAGAGAAAAATGGTCTATAAATTCTATTTTGTACTTGTTCTTATCAGCTTTAGTTCCAAAATCAAATAGCTCCAATTTTGAACCTGAGCTCACAATACTTTTCCTAGTCAACCTGACAATAAGTTCATTAGAAGAAATAATGTCAATACATAACATTAAGCTATACAACCCCAGTATACATTCAGTGCCAAGTGTTTGTTCATAAAATGAACTCACTCCTAGGAGAACCCTCATCTACAAAGGGAACTCACAAGCAAAAGGCCAAAAGCCTTGCACATACCTACCTACTGTACTTTCTAGTCAACACACTCTTCTTTCAATCCAAACACTCCATAAATATGCACTACCACAAGAAGAGAGGCCAAGAGTGCACACAAGATGGGAAATCCTATGCAGTTGTGGTTGCAGCTTCCAGCACTGAGGTGGTTGTAAAAGGCCAAAAGCCATGCACATACCTACCTACTGTACTTTCTAGTCAACACACTCTGCTTTCAATCCAAACACTCCATAAATATGCACTACCACAAGAAGAGAGGCCAAGAGTGCTGCACATAAGGTGGGAAATCCTATGCAGCTGTGGTTGCAGCTTCCAGCACTGTGGTGGTTGGTCCGGTGCCCGTTTGCAGCGCCAGCTGCATAAAGGGGTATGACAGCGGCGGCGCCTCCCTGTGTGTTCCCACCATTACTTGCTCCCTCACCGCCAGGGCCTCTTTCCCCACCAACATGGCCACCTCCTCCACCACCTCTTGCACCAACACCATGGCCAAAATTGCTGTGGTGGGCTATAAGTTTTCTACCGCGATTAATGCTGCTATGTTTTTCCTCAATGTCCTCCTGCAAATTAACTGCATATATAATATTTCTGTGAGCTCAGATGGCACAGGCTAAGATTTTCGAGGTTGAAGTTAAATTAGACACAAATGTAGGCAAATTGTTCCATGACAATACAAGAACAATTGTTCTTAGTCGTGACGAACTGCAATTATTGTCGCCTAAGGCTTTTAGCGACGCCTAATATTTAGGCAAATTGTGAGGTTAAGTGACACAGACAAACAGCATAATTCGATATGTAAGTTTTTCATGTAGATAGATCTTATAAATCTTGAATTGGGCAATTATGCTGGATTAAAATTCGTTTAGGATATAGAAGCATAGCAAGCTAACAGCACTTGAATCAGTTCCCCCCAACTTGGACTACAATTTTAAAAATATTGTTCTGTTCATTGTTCATCACTGAAGTAAAGCAAGATGCGTTTGGGATAAAGACTCTTTAGGAGTTCCGAATAATATTAAAGAAGAACGTGGTGGCAAAAAGGTACCACAATTTTTTGCTAGATTCCTCTTGGCGATAGTTTCCAATGAGGATGATTCACCATGGGAGATATGGGTTTTTATCAAGGATATTCGGATAAGTGCGAGACAGGTGTAACTATTTTTCTGTTATACACTTGGAGCTTTTAATAATGCGACCTATTGGGTGGCAAATGCTTGTCTATTTCAAAACTACCATTATCTTGGGTAAATGGTAATCCACCAGAGTTGGCTTTTATTTTATCGAAAGATTGTAATTACTCTTTTCATGAATAGAATGAAAATTTTGTTTGTGATCAAAATATATATATATATATATATATATATATATATATATAGAATTTGTAGTAAGTAATTCAGCCAATTATTTCTTTTAAAAAGCTCCATAGCACCGCCATTTCCAAAAATATTCAGGGAAGACATGCATGCGTTTATCGCGTTCGAATAAGAATGGTTGGTTTAAAAGAAAAAAATTCCAGGCTTCAAAATCTGGATTTTCGTGAAATAAGGTTCAATGACACATGTATATATTGAACTAATTGTAGCCATCTGAAACAAGAGTCCTTTCATACTACAAACAGCTTTGATAGGTAAACCACAGCTGCTTAGTTGTCTCTCTTGTACATAAATTTGAGAGAGAGAGAGAGAGAGAGAGAGAGAGAGAAACCTGAAGACAAGGTCTTGGGAAGAGGAAATAATGATGCGGGGCAAATGAAGTAGAGTAAGACCAGTAGAAGAAATATCATCTCTTTAGATTCCATGTTGCTTCCTTCCCATAAATCTCACAGCTTTTCATGGTTTTATCCTCCTCCAATACTCCTTTTATTTTCATGAATGCTCCACTTGCCCTATCCTAACTTTAGTAAAGTAAACAGGATAGAATATGATAATCTTTGCCTACTTGGAATCCAAAAATGATTTTATGAGAGAGATTAATCTGTGGTCTAGTACACAGAGGTCAAAATTTTTAAAAGTGCTTTTTTTGCTTTTATAATTGTAAAAAAGTTGAACAAACTTTATATCTGGCCATAGGAAGAGAATTCCTCTTTTGTTTTAATCACTTCAACTAGATTTTGTTTGCCACCTTGATTTGTCAAATTGAAATTGTGGGTAAAAAGTCAAATCATCTGAGTCATTTTATTCATTCTTAGCCTTTATTTCAAGCGTACAACTCACTTGACTATTGATGGTAAACCACGTAAGATGTTTGTTAAAGCCGAATTTTGTTTTTGACCTTATCTCGACCTAAAAATCCAAAAATGATTCAGCCTGATGTTGATATATAAGAAAAGTTGCCATTTGCTTGTTTTAGTTGAAATTCAATTCATCATAAACAAAAGTAGACATATATACTTTGGGGAACCTAAAATATGTTGATATTATAGATTTTAGAGTAAAATAAGTCAGGTCAGTTGAGACTTAGGTTTCTGGACTAGCTTATGTAAGAGTTTTTTGATCCTAAAATGATTTATGTAGACCGATTGAAAAAGTTGATCTTATGGGATTTTTTATTAATTTTTTGGAGTTTTATCGTAGGTCTTACATAATTTTTTAAATTATTATATTCATAAATATTATTGGTAACGTAAAAAATTTAAAATTTATATTTTGAGAACTATTATTTATAATCTATACATACATTAATTTTTTTTTTTATTTTGACACAAAAAAAACAAAAAAATTTAAAAAGTTACTCCAAATAGATTTTTTAAACTTTTCAAGAATACACCAAACGATTTAGAAGACTTTCTTAACACTGATTTTTTTAAGAAATTTTTCAAATCACAATTTTTCATCTAAAAAGGCTGACCCCAAACGTGGCAAGACATCAAAACAAGACATCGCGACAGATCCAGAAATTTAGACGTGTCACGATTCACTAGGCAAGCTCAGCCATAAATACTCCGGCTTGATTTCTCACAACTTCTTCGTCCGTACTGTCTTCTTGGCACTATGCCTAAGGTCATCAAAGTTGATCTTATAAATACCTGTTGGAGGAGAGATATGAGAAATTAATACTTAATTTTAGTAGGGGTATAACTTGGACAGGTCAACCTGAATTTAAACCGTTCAACTGAATTTAAACCGTTCAATCCACCCGAGTTGCACCACTAAATTTCAGTGAGAATTGAGTCTTTCACCTCCTAATTGAGAGAATTTTGAGATCCATTTGTTAGGCAGAGCAGTTGGAGAGAGGAAAGAGTGGGAGTTGCTTGATACTGCTGATGATAGAAAGACCTATGCCAAAGCAACGATCTCATTTAGATTTTCACTTTTTTTCCGTCATAAAAATCCCCATTCCCGTTATTCCATAGGCCCCACAACATTACGAGCAAAAAAGAGCAAACTGTTTCCAACTTACCATCCAAAATCTTCTCAAATTGGGGCGGACATCATTGATTTATCATAGTACATGTTACATATGGGACATGAGACCGAAAAAGATTAGACTAGAGATCCGAATATCTCATCGGTAGCTACAAAAAACACTCCATAATACCCAACTTAGAGAAAGAGAGTTACCTCGACTCTCAACTTAGCAACACTAGTAGGGACTTGTTATTAAATTAGGTATGTATGTTACACCTCTCTCGATTAACTTAATTATTGGTTGTCAACTAATTTAATTATTGATTGATATTGCCAATAACACTTCACTTATGGTATGTTTCATTGGGTGGATGAAAAAATGTAAAGGTAAAAAATAAAAGTGATACAATTTCTATCCTTAAAAGAAAGAAATCATTTCTTTCATTCTTTGTATTTGATAGGAATGATTAAAAATTGAATTGATTAATTTTTTTTTTTTTTTTTTGAGTTTGACAGGATGAAATATATAGATAAATAATATACATTTTAATACATATAATTGATTTTTTATCTATTGTTTTCTCAATTTTAGAGGAATTTATTTTGACGAATTGGAAAAAAAATTAATCTATCTACTTTTCTATCATTTCTATTTTTCTTCCTTACAATATATGAAATTTTATCTATCTCTTCAACTTTTCTTCTTTCTATTTTCCATTGTACTAAATAAAGCTAAGATTTTATATCAATAGATGGACTACCCCAATTGAGGCTATAATTTTCAAACGGTTGATTGTTAGCATTGGATTTCTTCTCTCGAGGGTGAATATGTACTCAAAGGCATATGCTGAATATAACGAATAAAAATCCTTAATATGCGTGGCCCAAGAAAAGATGAAAATCTTTACTAGGAATCTTTACAATCAAATGTTCTCTAAGGGCCGAATTTATTTTTTTGGGGGGTTTAGATTTAATTTATTAAATCTTTTAAAATCTAGTCCCATGGATTTGTACATGGTTTCAAAAAAAAATTCTATTCAATCCCATTTTGGTAGATGATATAAATATGCTAGTAATTGTTCGTACCTGAAAACACCATGTTACTCGTAAAAAAATTGTAAAAATTTGTCCGTGCAAAAAGACACTGTATAACACAACTTCAACAAATAATGATTAAATTCACATTGTTCCACCTACATACAAAACATATATAATCAAACCTTTATGTAACAAAAGTCATGCTACAATTACTATAACATATTAATTCAAACATCTGAGAAAATATGTTGCTTAACAATGTTCAATGTAATTTTTATCGATTCAATATCCATGATTTCAATATTCTTAATCAACTTTATCTCAACTTCCAAAAAAATGTTCATCAACTCTCAAATTCTAAAAAATATTAATTATTCACCAACAATCAGGTAGAAAATTAATTTCACCAGAAAAGGTACATATAGCCAATGGAGTAATAGACTTGACTAAAAATAAATCAAACTCATAAATAAAAAATATAAGAAATATAAATATCAAATAACTAACAAAACCTATTACAAAATTGTTGTCCTTGGTACATAAGCAATCGATGCAAAGTATTTTTTTTGGTCATATAGAATGTTGAAAAACAACAACATGTGAAGCAAGCAATTAAATTAAAAGTACATGAATGTGCAAAATTACATTATGAAGTAAATGCCAACCTTTGAAATAAGCAACTACAACTCAAAGGGCAGAAAATACCAAGGAAGTTCGTAAGAAGATTTTGAGCAGCAGTTTACCCTTATACAACCTCTCAAATGCCACAACTTTCAACCAAAAACAGAAAATATAATTATGAAAAGTTTACAATTCTTAGTCAACAACAAAAGTTTTTACAATACGACAATGAAAATAAGTGAAGGAAAAAAAATGAGGCAAGGAAATGAAGATAATTTTTTTTTTTTTGTTAACTAACATGGATTTTATGTATAGATTGTAACCGAAGGAGTTAAACAATAGTACAATGAAAAGAATTCATGAAGCAAAGGAAAAAAAATGAGGCAAATTGTGACATTGCACCTTCAATAACGAATTGAATGTCGAAAAGTTTTTTCGCGGAACTGTACTAAAAAATTCTTATATTGCATATAACTAAAAAATTATAATTACATGTTTTCTTTTTTTTTTTTTTTTGGGGGGGGGGGGGGGAGGGGGGATGGGGGATGGAAGACTTGAACTCTTGACCTTAAAAAGATAAACCTTCACAAAATAAAGAGTACCATTAGACCAAATGCCCGTTAATAATTATATGTGATTGATCATAATATTTTATATATTATCATAATTTTGTAATTGATCACAATATTTCATGCTATAATGGATGATAAATAACTTCAAATAGTTGTAACTTGATTTAAAAAATATAACTTGACCTTTAAAAATTGTATATTTCATAATCGATCACAATATTTCATGAGTAGTCATTACTTTTTGAGTTACAAATTGAATCATTTGCAAGAGTTTTAATTCAAACTCTCATAAAATAATTTTAGTACGGTACCTTATGTGGTAGTTTAAGTTCTTGTGTGTGTTATGTCATCTGGTTATATTTATAGATTATTGTTAATTAACATCGATTATATGTATAGATTGTAGTCGAAGAAGTTGAAGCAAAGGAAAAAAAATAAGGCAAAGGAAATGAAGATTTTAAAAAAAAAAATGTTAACCAACATTATTCTGATACAATTCTTCCACTCATGTTCGAAAGGAGTCTAAATTCTAAATGTGTGCATGTCTCGAATCAATTTGTGTGAAACGATTTTCATTCGTAATTGATTTCCAATTTTGGGAAACAATTTTCTCGTTGTGGCTGACACAATTATGTGCTTGCTATCTTAATGAAAGTTCAATATTCATTCAAAAATAAATAAATAAACACAAAAATTTACCTACAAATTCGGATACCATGTTGCTTTGGGGTTGATGGGCTGTTCTTTCTCACTGGGGCTTGGAACAGAGCATGCACGGAATATACGAAATCCACCTTCACCACCAAGCTTTTGAGATTTATGAAAGATGAAATATACAGAGTTGGGGGAGACACACAGACGGGTAAGAGAGAGACAAAATGTAGGAGTCTGATAGACACATAGAGTGAGAGAAGGACAGAGATGAGTGAGAAAGAGAAAGAGAAAGAGAGTGAGAGGGATGAAACTCTAGGAATATTGAGACTTTGTGAGGAGAGAGGATTCAGAATGTATAGAGAATGGAGGAGTGGAGAGATGTGTGTGAGAAGAGAGAAACAGAATGTAATCTCTATTCAAAATGGTTTAGGCGGGATAAAATTCTATGAGTGGGAAAATGTATTTGGGAGAGTGAATTTTGTCCATCGGATTGATGATGGATATTTATCGGTCAATCTGAGACGTTCAAACAATTTTATAAGTTTGGAGATTTGAAACTCTTTCTACTTTATTATATATATAATAATATGTGGGATTCATGAATTTATATCAAATCATATTACTCTATTTACTTAAATATCGATTATTATGAGCATAGAAGAATAATTTTTTGAGTAAAGTAGCATTTTTGTCTTTAAATCTTATCTTTCACTTTTGAAATCCACCCCTCCCATGGGTTTCATTAAACTCCTATTTGTGGATTTTAA